AGAAGAAATTTCTAGCATTAATTCTGATCATGGCTTGTCTTGAAAAACGAAGACAGTTTGCAAACTAACGATCAAAGACTACAGATTTTAGCCTAGGATTATAGGAATCTTTTAGGATTTTCAAAATTTGTCTCAGACGAACAAATCGTGGCCAAAATCGCACAGTGTGAGCCGGGCTTAAAGTCTTTAATTTGGCTCTGAATCTCAGGTGAAAATTGTCATTATGCAGACTAATAGAATACTAGAAAAATAATCATATATATATACAGTATATAAATATATTAGAATTCTATTCCAATTATTTGTAAAAGTAAAGCCTAGTAAATAATCTTAAAGGTGGGGTAAGCGATTTTTCAAAAACACTTTAGAAAACTAATTCGGGCCGAATAGCAAAACAAACTTGTAGCCAATCAGCAGTGCCGCGCCACTCGCGTCCGGTGTAGACACACATTGGTTTTGCTTTGTTTCACAGAACTAATCGTTGCCTGGGTTGCGTACGTATGTGTGGGGCGGAGCTATCAAAATAGGGGCGAGACCCTTTTGGGGTAGGGGCGTGTTTGTTTTGGTGATCAATTCAAATATCAACATTGGCTACCAGAAATCGCTTACCCCACCTTTAGGTGTCTCGCTGTACATTGCTCTTCTTGTTATGGTGGAGCCGTTGCTTACACAATACATCTGTACTTTACTAGAGAACCGCATTTGATTCCAAATTGTCATCACACAGTAAAAGTAAAATGTGAATTTTTATAAACTTCTAGCTTAAGTTCAGGTAAATGTTTGTCTATCTGACTAATTAAATAAAAATGTGTGACTGTGCAAATCCATGAAAATGATTTACAACAAGTGCAAACAATTAATGAATCGAGATTTTTATCACAACATGTTGTTTATTATTATGCATAAATCTCAATTTTTACACTGAAATGTAATATACAGTCAGTGATGCATGTACAACAATGTGTGTAGGTCTGATCTACTGTCTTAACATAATATAACGTATTAATCAATTTAAGAGTAGGTTGTATTCTGTTCATAAAAAACCCCCAGCATGATTGTGCATACATAACACTGATACTAGTCACTAAAAATGTAATTAATTTGTTGAAATCTGAAAGCCATAGAAAGAATACCTTTTTATTAATTAAAATATTTATTAAAAAAGTGTTATATCATCATCATACACTGCAGTCACAAGTCACATTATAAGTTTATTTATTGAAACTCAGAAGCCATAGAAAGAACATATTTTATTTTCATTAAACAACATGCAATATAAAACAATAATTTAAATTATTATTATTACAATTAAATTCATTATATCAATATAAGGAATATCGTAACATATTAGTCATTACAGTTTAAGTAGGTAGGGTCAGAATTTGGCGTAAAGAACATGAAAGCATGGATCCATCCTGCCTTGTCTCAACGGTTCAGGCTGCTGGTGGTGGTGTAATGGTGTGGGGGATATTTTCTTGGCACACTTTGGGCCCCTTAGTACCAGTCTCAACGGTTCAGGCTGGTGGTGGTGGTGTAATGGTGTGGGGGATATTTTCTTGGCACACTTTGGGCCCCTTCGTACCAATTGAGCATCGTTTAAACGCCACAGCCTACCTGAGTATTGTTGCTGACCATGTCCATCCCTTTATGACTACAGTGTACCCATCTTCTGATGGCTACTTCCAGCAGGATAATGCACCATGTCACAAAGCTCAAATCATCTCAGACTGGTTTCTTGAACATGACAATGAGTTCACTTTACTCAGATGGCCTCCACAGTCACCAGATCTCAATCCAATAGAGCACCTTTGGGATATGGTGGAACGGGAGATTCTCATCATGGATGTGCAGCCGACAAATCTGCAGCAACTGCGTGATGCTATCATGTCAATATGGACCAAAATCTCTGAGGAATGTTTCCAACACCTTGTTGAATCTATGCCACGAAGAATTAAGGCAGTTCTGAAGGCAAAAGGGGGTCCAACCCGGTACTAGCAAGGTGTACCTAATAAAGTGGCCAGTGAGTGTATATAAATAGACAAAAATTGTATGTACAGGTGTGCTACAGATGAAATAAGATGTAGGAATGGACTAAGATGGGTGGTATCAAATAAATATAAGTGGTACTGCACAATGGGAAAAGCATTTAACTGTTCATGAGGTGGATTTCCTGGGGGAAGAAACTGTTCTTGTGCCTGGCAGTCCTGGTGCTCTGTAGCGCCGACCCGACGGCAAAAGTTCAAAAAGGAGATGGCTTGGATGTGAGGGATCCCGAGTGATTTTCTGAGCCCTTTTCCTCACTCTGGATGTATACAGCTCTTGGAGGGTAGGCAGGGGGTCACCAATAATCCTTTCAGCAGTCCGAACCGTTCTCTGTAGTCTTCTGATGTCTGATTTTGTAGCTGAGCCAAACCAGACAGTTATTGAAGTTCACAGAACAGACTCAATGATGGCGGAGTAGAACTGTGTGAGCAGCTCCTGTGTCAGGTTGAACTTCCTCAGCTGGCGAAGGAAGTACAATCTCTGTTAGGCCTTTTTTACAATACAGTCTATGTGAGTGTCCCACTACGAGTCACTAGGTGTCATCATCGTACAGTCTGCATACATGTCGCAGACATGTCGTACCCAAGTTTGTTAGAACCAAAGAAAGAAAACATCAATATTTGTAGACAATACACAATATTACATATCTTTTAATAAATAGTAATGGGACACACATTTGCTGGTAGTAATGCTGTAAATCACAGAAATCGCCACGTTTGTTTCACAATGGCAATCTTTCGTCTGGGACAGCCCAAAATCGTGCAGTGTGTCCTGGGCTTAAGGCAGTGCTCCTCAACCCTCTTCCTGCGTCTCCCTGATCAACACACACCTGATTCAGGTCATCAGCTCATTAGTAGAGACTACAAGACCTGAAATGGGTGTGTCAGACAAAGGAGACATGCTAAATGTGCAGTGATGCATTGAGAACCACTGGCCTAAGATTTCCTTTTCCCTGAAAACATTGAAGACCCCTGGACTAAAGTAAAGCACCACACAACAAATAACTGGGCTCATTTTTTATTAGCCTAATAAAACACTTTCAGCTTTTGATAGGCAGCAGCGGAACATACAAAAACATTTTAAAATGTATTTGCAATGACACACAAAACGCTGTGATAACACATTTCTTAGTAGTATCTTGTTTAGTTTGTGCAGGAAGAAGTGCTTTATCTCTGAAAGGAAAGCTTACTTTGACCCGGGAGAACGGATCAGGTGCCAGATTTGTGCCCGTTGTATACCAATAATTTTGTGTGTTTTTGCAACTTAGAAACTGCAATTCTTTTCCACTTTTTTAGTAGATCCTGGGAATTTTGTCAGAAAATCAGACTTGCCTTGTTTTGGTTTTGTATAGTAAAAACCCACTTTGATGTTTTCGGGATCTGCGGTATATTTTTGATCTCCCAGTTCCACCCGCAGCAAAGGTAAAACTGCCTGATCCCGCTGGTTTCATGGGATCCCAGTCCAGTGCTCTACTGTGGGTTTTTATTAGAGATGCACCGATGTATCAGCCATGGTCAGTATCGGCCGATAAAAGCAATGTTTTTTCACTATCGGCCGATTATTCAAAATCAGGGCCGTTTATATCCTGTCAATCAAAAGGTGGTGGAAAAATGTGTCAGACTGCAGCTCATACTGTGTGTGAAGAAAATGCCTCATGTTTAATTCAGGGCTGTCAAAATTAATGTGACAATAAGGCATTAACAGTTAAAAACAGTGCCATAAAAGCAGGCTCTATTTGACCCTATGAGTCACCCGTAGTTCAAGCCAGGGTTGCCAGATCCGCATTTTTCTCTACACTGAACATTATTTGTACTGCACCTTCTATTCAATATTCGCAAATAGCTTTGTGCTCTCTTACTTCTGCTAAAAGAAACAGTCTCATCTTTCAAATTCTGTCCATTCTATCATGAAATTCAAACAATGAATGACGTTTTGACACTTTTAAGTATAACGTGACAGATCTCTGTAGCAGCTTAAGTTTAAGCAGCAGCGTGGAGCACAAGTCTCTTTCAGTTTAATACAAGTTATAGCACAAAATAAACATGAATGAACATCAAGATACATTACAACTTACCAAATGTATCACGTCTCATGTATTCACTCAATAAGTGTTTCATCCGCGGAAAGATGTCAATAAAACAGCTTGTGAGCAATATGTCACTTAACGTTGTATTTACCTCAGTAAAGGTATCCACTGATCACATTTTATTAGTTGCGTATAAAAAAAAATATAAAAAAACACTAAAGATGAGCCATGCTGTCTAATCAGCATCTTGCTATGCCACACCTGTGAGGTGGATGGATTATCTCGGCAAAGGAGAAGTGCTCACTAACACAGATTTAGACAGATTTGTGAACTATATTTGAGAGAAATAGGCTTTTTGTGTACATAGAAAAAGTCTTAGATCTTTGAGTTCAGCTCATGAAAAATGGGGGCAAAAACAAAAGTGTTGCGTTTATAATTTTGTTCAGTATACTTATAGTTATATATGTTTGAATACATCTGGCATGAAGCATGTGCAAATGAGTTGTATACAGACATTTAAATTTTTATATGAGTGTCATTATGATATCTAAAAATAAGTAGCAGTTGAATATAATAGCTGTTGTTAATTTTAACCTTTAATATTATAGTAATGTACCAAATGAGAGGGTTCCCTGTATAGTTTACAGCATTGGTTACTGGATTTTTTTCCTTAAGAAAATCGGCATCGGTATCGGCAGATATCTTTCTGGATAATCGGCTATTGCTATTGGTGCATCTCTAGTTTTTATAAATGGTTTGATAACTGCCATCTTTAAAGTATTTGGGACGTGTCCTTTTTCATTTGTTTAGTGTGTATAGGATCTAGCATATATATTGTTGGATTTGATGTTTTACTGTCTGAAGGCTTTCATGTCTTTGTGCAGTTAAACTGGTGTTCACTTGTTTTTGTTTCTGTTCACCCTAGACCTGATGCCACTGAAAGAGGAGAGTCAAGAACTGAATGAAATGGAAGAGAAAGATCAGTATGAGAAATATCATGATTTCATGGGTGGAGAGAATTCTTTCAGCTACTCAGAGACTTACAAAACAGAAACTAGAAACCTTCAAGTTCAGATGAGAGTTCACACTGGAGAGAAGCCTTTCACCTGTCAACACTGTGGAAAGGGGTTCAGTCGAAAAGACAGCCTTAAAGGCCACTTAAAAATCCACACTGGAAAGAATCTGATCATATGCCATCAGTGTGGAAGGAGTTTTACACAGAAAAAAAACCTTAATGCCCACATGAGAATTCACGCTGGAGAGAAGCCTTACACCTGCAAACTGTGTGAGAAGAGCTTCTCACGAAAAGAAAGCTTTAAGACCCATATGACAGTTCACACTGGAGAGAAGCCTTTCACCTGTCAACACTGTGGAAAGGGATTCAGTCGAAGTGAAAGCCTTAAAGGCCACTTAAACATCCACACTGGAGAGAAGCCTTTCATTTGTCTTCAGTGTGGAAAGAGTTTTACACAGAAAACAACCCTTAAAGCCCACATGAAAATTCACACTGGAGAGAAACCTTACACCTGCAAACTGTGCGGGAAGAGCTTCTCAATTAAAGGAAATCTTATGACTCACATGAGAGTTCACACTGGAGAGAAGCCGTTTGTTTGTGATCAGTGTGAAAAGAGTTTCAGATATAAAGCACACCTTCGTAATCACATGAGGATTCACTCAGGAGAGAACTGTTTTGAATGTCATCAGTGTGGAAAGAGTTTCTCACACAGAGAGAACTTTGATAATCACTTAAGAATTCACACTGGAGAGAAGCCTTTCACCTGCCCTCAGTGTGGAAAGAGTTTCATGGCTAAAGGAAACCTTAATATTCACATGAGAGTTCACACTGGAGAGAAACCTTACAAGTGTCTTCAGTGTGAAAAGAGTTTCGCATATCACACAGAACTGAAACGGCATTTGCAAACTCATTCTGCAAAGAAACTGCCATTGTCCTCAGTGTGATGAGGTTTAGAAAAAGAAGCGATTTCAACAATCATCTGTGCATTCACTCTGGAGAAAGACAATTCGATTGGGATCAGTCCAATAAAAATAAATCACACTTTTACATACATGAATGTCATGTAAATGTCAGACCCTGAAACATATCCACGTTTAAGTGTTGATTAAAAAAATGTATGACGTTAGCATTAAATGTTTATTGTTGCTTAAAAGCAGAGGCTCTGTTCTTTCTTTTGATACACTGTATGTTGAGATATTGATACAACAAAATATTCTGGGGGCTATTTTTGATTTATTTATTTTTATCTTTTGTGAAAATGGTCAAAAATCCTGCCACTGGCTGGCAACTTGAAAAAAAAAATGCTGGCAAGGAAAGAGTTAAAGTTCAAACACTTAGATAGGAACACAATAGTATACTTAAAATGCAAAACTAATTTATAAATAATAAACTGCAAGTATAATATTGTTCACTTAAAAAAATCTTACAAGTTAACTTGCAATATGAAACTACTAAACTAGTAGTTTAATGAGAATATACTACAAATATTTAACTAGTAAGCTATCAGTCATGTGTGCTGAATCAAAGCGCATGCCAAAGGAGTAGAATCAGGAGTCTTTTAATAAACAAAAAATCCACAAAGAGAAAACGCAGGAGTAAATGTGGCACAAACGCTAAACACAATCAATTCTGGACCAAGGACCTGAAGCAGACACAGGACTTCAATAACTTGGAGAAAAGTAATCAAGGAAACACAGAACAGATGTGTCAAGTCAAGTCACCTTTATTTATATAGCGCTTTTAACAATACTTCATACCAATTTGAAAAACTAGCGGAATGCATAGTTGATATAAAAAACTGGATGACGAGTAATTTCTTACTGCTAAATTCTGAAAAAACAGAGCTGTTAATTATAGGACCTAAAAATTCTGCATGTAATGTGGTGGCTTCTGCCGCTGCTGTGAAAAATCACTCTCAAAGTCTTGGGGTTTTTGATGCCAGAAGAGATTTTATTGTCAGACAATAAAACCGAGAAAGCTCTGCAGAACAATCTCCAGAATCTTTTTCTGTACCCTCTTATATACAGTTTTTTCTCTAGACGTGTTCAATACATTTCATTCATATTTGTTATGGGGTCACGATGCAGTCAGGAGGCCTTAATTTTATGTTCCGTGAAAGTAAGGGCCCATCATGTGCCATCATGTGCTTCACCATGTCTGCACATTCCATTCTCATACAGATTTCTATACATGCAGGCAAATACACATGATTATAATAGTAGAATAATGTAATACATAAATGGCTGTATTCCCATTGATTATACTTGATCAAAAGTTTAATGATGAACTGCCTTTAACTGAAAATTGAGTGTTTACTATTGTCCTTTTGCATTATTGACACTCTGTTTTCCTAATTAATACAGTAAAGCTGCTTTGACACAATCTGTATTGTTAAAAGCGCTATATAAATAAAGGTGACTTGACATAAGTTTTCCATTCAGAAAGTCAAAATCAATTGTTTTAAACTCGCCATCAGTAGACTTGGTCGGCATTACTGGGAACACCCACGAAAACATATCTGATTATGCCATGGAGGACAACAAACTATTTGAATTAATTACACAGTTGACCCAATCCCTTACACCTTAACCCACTCTTAAACCTGCCCATACCACCAAACCTGTCCCTAACCTTACCCGTATCCACCTCAATAGCAGCAGAAGTGTTTTGCAATACATTATGAACACAATAAGTACATTTAACTTATTTTTTTATGTAAGTACATAGCAGTTAAGGCCACTTAATATAAAGTGGGACCACCTATTAAAACATTTATTTGTTATTATTATTATAGACAATCCCTTTTGAAAATTAACCATGGTTTGACTATAGGAAAAGTATAGTCACCATGTTTTTTTTGGTGTATTTATTATTAATATTATTTATTGTATTTTATTTACATTTAGATTAGGGTGACCAGACAGTCCCGGGGACAGTCCCGGTTTTTGGTGTCCTGTCCGTTTTACAGCAAGTTCAAAACAACGATTACTTTCACCAGCAGAGGGCGCTGTGAGCTATACTGATTACTAGTCGCGCGCCGCTAATGTAGCCATGAAGAACTTGGACTAGAGCAGAGCGCTATTATCATCAATTATCAAAAGAGACACACCGTTATTGGTTTCAAGGTAGTCACATGCTAACTATATACATGTTAAAACAAAGTAATACCGTTTGTGTGCACTTTATAACAAGGTATCTTCATTCAACTTCCGCTGTCACAACTCTGATATGAATAATAATAATAATAAAAGAAACAAATAAACTAAACAATTACACTTGCAGAAAGCACATACTTTGTGGTCAAAATTAGCCTAAAATTCAAAATAGCAAGCCTGATTTTCATTTAAAATGTAAAAAGTTGTAATTACTCAGTTTGTGAAAATGTTTTATTTTTAATGTGTTTTTGTAAAGTCATGATTTTGTTATAATCCTGTTTTGATTGGTTTACTATTTGCAATAGTTACTATTTACTTTTCATAGTGTGATTTTTGGAGAATTGTAGTCCTATTAATAAACTAGGGTAAGTTTGATCCTTAAACATCATTGTAATTACTCATTATGATATTAACATATTAAACAATTAAAAAACAATTATATAAATATTATATACTTTCCCAGTTTTAAAATTTTTTATTTTGTTTTTCTAGATAATCACAAGTGAGATTTCAGTGATATTTTGATGACTGAACTAGGAAATGTCCCTGGTTTTCATTTCAGAAATCTGGTCACCTTAATTTATATATAAGCCAGAAGTTTTTTAAAGAAAAAAAAAATCTCAGTGGTACTGATAGATTTGAGAATCTGCGATTTATCCTTTGGTCAATCCTCAATCTTATCACGTGTATATGTTTTCGATTAAAACTCATTATTTGGAGCGTGTGAACAGGACTTTTATTTTGGCGTGGTGACATGACGTCATAAATCTGCGCCGCACTCCTGAATCTGTGATTCTGCTGAAGAAAGGTTTGTTTTTATCAATGCAGCCCGGTTTAGACAGTTTATAGTGAAGTTTTTAATGAAATCATTATTTCGGAATGTAACATTGTGATGTGTCTAATACTGTTAATGAACAGTTTTGTGTGAGTAACACACGAGTCACAGAAAAGAAGCATCTGATTTCGCTCCTTATCTAGTGAAGCAGTTCAGTGTTTATTTGCTTAATCATGTGATTTAAGTGCATTAACTCACTCTGACTCCCTTACTAGTGTGCTGACTACTGAACTAGGGAGCTGATTGAGACACCCCAGAGACCTAGTTTGGGTTTATTATCTTTCTGTTAATTATTCTGATCTTAAACACAGAAAAACTATATTGTTTTGGGAGTCTCCTACAAAAGGTTTACATGCATGCAATGCAAGGTCAAAAAACACTTGTTTTCTCAAAATATACTTTTAATTTCACCGCATTTCTCAATGATTCGTAAACGATTCGTTCAAAGCAGTTGTGAGATTCAGTCTCTCTAAACCCCTCCTTTCTGTGAGCCTGAACCGTACCGAGCCGTACCATGCAGTGGAAAAGCGCCAAAAGAAGAACAATACTAACAACAGGAGGATGGAGGACGTTTTGTTCCTCCATTGCGTAAATGTTCAAAAGTGCCTGCACTTCAGCGTCCGTCCATCTATCGCTGTTCTCCATACTTGCGAAATAAGTTGACACAATGTTTACAGTGTTTACACGGCGTTTTAAATCATGGCGGGTGAGGGTGTTTTCATACGCGTTTGGCCAATCAATGTCTAC